TTCATATATTTACAATCACTTCCGGCGAGCTGATGGACAGCAGCTCCCTCCGGCTTCTCTGCAGTCTTTTATCATCAAACTGACCCGTTTTTTCGAACCGGACTAAAGTTGGTCTTCCTTCCAACCGAATTCGGTGTTCAGTGACTCAGAGAGCCGGACGGGACCGTTCAAAAATATACTTTTGTCCAGGACCGGCCGCTCTCATCCCACCGGTCACTCTGAGCGCACCCTGCCGGCCAGGTGACCCCTCGAGCTGGGGAGTCGTCGCACCAAGGTCCGGTGTTTTTTCTCTCTCTCTCTGGACCCCAACAAACTCTCATCTGGACCTTTATGGTTCTACCTGGTTCCGACAAGAATCGCCGGGTGGTATTTCGCTGGTTTTCTGCTGGACTGGCCCTCGTAGTGTCTTCATTGGTGTGGGGGAAGTGTACTCGTGTCCCCCGAACTGGTCCAGAACCGAATCGAGTTGGCTGAGGGGGACTTCGTCTTCAACAGAGCCGGTCTAAGCTTCAGTGAGCAGCCCGTTACTTTTAACGAAGGATGGTCCACCTCTGTGGAATCGCTGTGTTCATCTGGAGGAGACGCTCCGATGCTTTGAAGCGCCGCTGGAACCGGACCGGAGCAGAACCAGGCCAGGGACAACTTCAGCCTCTTCGCCTCTCGAGCTGAGGAGCGCCAGAGCCGGACTGGAGCAGAACCGGACCGGACCCGTTACGACTTCAGCCTCAGCCTCTCCAGTCAGTCTCGTTTTTCACCGAGGGTGCTGTCGGGCTAGGACCATGCCTTTCACTTCAGGAAGATTTTCTGGCAGCTCGCTTTGCTATTTGCTGCAAATTATCTGTTTCTGTTTCGGCCTGTTGATTCTGGACCCAGCTTCTGTTTCCCATGGGAGCATCCATCCTTCCATCCATCCATCCATCCATCTTCACTGGGGGGCCGGAGCCTCCCTCAGCCCAACTCAAACTGCAGTTGGGCCACCTCGTCGGGTTTGTTTGCCCACTTGAATTGTGACGTTTTATGGTCTGAAACTTTTCTGCATCATTCATATTATTGTCACTATTTTCAGTTCTCAGATTATCTGGAGTCACTGAATCTTGTTAATACACCTGGATCTGTCCATCACTGCAACTTTCGCTGTTTTTGGGTTCTGAATGATCACGTCTTCATTAATGTTTCTCATGGTTCTATTGTGGGGGCTAATTGTCACACTGTTAACTCCTGTAATTACACATCAGTCACAAAAAACTCAAGAAAATGTCTGATAATAATGTTGTTACTGCTCTCAGGGATTCAGCCCAACCCTGGACCCCCCACTAATTACAGCACACCAAATGACTTTAAAAACGTGTCTGGGCTTCATTTTCTGCATGTATCAATCAACCTTTATTTATACAGGTAAATCCCATTGAGCCTCGAGGACTCATTTACAAGAGAGACCTGATTTCAACAAAGAAAGATGACAACAATGGACAACAGCAACAACAATAAACAGTTATAAAAACTCATACTACAGGTTTTTTTTTTAACAAATAGGATGGCTAAAAGGAAAAAGGTAACAAAACAAAAAACAGCTAGATTCCAAGACAAATGTAGAAAACTAAAAACAGGAACATGTCTGCATTGGACCCTGCCAGGAGTCCAACAGATTCTTAAAGACACTTAGAGAGGTCAAGGTCGAGAGCTTTGTAAAACGCTCGTAGCCTTCTGAGAAAACTTGATGCCTTGAAAATTCTGGTACGTTCTTCTGGGGCAGAAGTAATCTGCATCTCTGAAACCTGGCTCAACAAATCTGTACTCAATAATGATCTGGTAATTAGAGCTGCAACAATGAATCGATAAAATCAATAAAAATCGATTATTAAAAGCGTTGGCAACGAATTTCATTATCGATTCGTTGTGTCGCGCGATTATGCATCTTTCACGGCGCTGCGGAGCCGTTTGGTTTTGTTCACGGGCAGCTCATTGTCAATGCTGACTGACTGAATAAAGTTTGAAAAAAAACTGCAGCGTGAGTTGAACAGAGCGAGGGGGGAGCAGAGCAGAGTGTTTTCAAAGGAAATTTAAGTAAATTTTACAAATGACCGACGCAGCGAAAACTGTTCGACACAAGTCCTCCAAAGAGTGGGAGAACTTCACAAAGATAAAAACTGAGAAGCATGTAGCTTTGAAAAGTGACGACACGACACGAGAGAACCACGGAGATAAACGTAAACATGTGGGAGTCACGAGGAGGAGGAAGGAGCTGCAGCTGATAACACTCTTCATGTGTTGCAGGTGAGTCTCTACAATTTAACACTTTGTTCTGTTTCAAGGGAGAAAACGTAACGTCAGTCTGTCTGGTAGATGAAGCTATTTGTTTGTTTGTTTGTTTGTTTTCTGATTAATGACGGTGATAGAGAACATGTGTAACTTTTTATTTTATTTAATTGGAACAAGCAGTGTTTAAATGTGATTTATAAATAAATCTAACACAAAGATAATAATTTAATGATTAAGCTTCAACTTTTAATTTGCTGGCAAAGTCTGAAGACACTGCAGGTATGGCAGGATGAATTGCATTTAAACAGGAATTAGAGTGATTTATTACATCTACTCAAATGTGTGTAATTAAGTATTTTATATGTGTGTGTGTGTTTAATTGCTCTTTTAGCTACTTTTGCCTGAACCTAACACTGTAAGTGAAACAAGGCATTTCTTGAGTTGCTGTAAATTATACTATAAAACATATTTACTGTCTCATTCCAGAGAACAACAACAAACAACATCCTTCATGATGGACAGACATCATGGACACCACAGCAGCAGCTGTCTTCACTGAAACATCCTGAACATGATCGTCACTGACATGAGACCTCTGTCCATGGTTGAAGACGAAGGCTTCACTACAATAATCCACACTTTTAATCCAGGTTACAATAATTCACACTTTTAATCCAGGTTACACTCTTCCCTCAAGGACTCATTTTACAAAGTAGCTACATATTGTGCAGGTATAAAGACACATTTGTATATATTTTTGTATACATTAATCTTTTTAAGCTATTTGACTACCTTTTATTTTTTTATTATTCAATATTTTACTAACAGAATAGTCAAGTAGCAACCTGTTTTTGTGTGAATTTCTATGTCAGTCAAATGTTCAATTTTGGAATAAAGGGGTGGAAATTAAAACGTTTTTTTTTTATTTTGCCGATTCATTGATTAATCAAAAAAATAATTGGCCGATGAATCGATTATTGAAATAATCGTTAGTTGCAGCCCTACTGGTAATCAATGGATTTAACATGTACCACTGTGATCGTCAAAAAAAGGGGTGGGTGGGGGGGAGTCGCTGTTTACATCAGAGATTCTCTGGTTTCTAGTCTTGTGTCTTCTAAAACAATTCCAAACCAAATTGATGCCTTAGCTGTAAACATCACTTTGAATGGAGGCAAGATCTTATCTGTAGTGTGTTGTTATCGTCCCCCCTCAGCAACACCTGAGGCTCTGTCCTCCCTGATGGAATTCCTTGGTAATTTAAAATTCAAAGAGATCTTTTTGGCAGGAGATTTCAACATTGACTGGGATAAGTCGACCCCCCTCTGTGATAAATTCAAGGAATGTTGCCTGTCTCTTAATCTTACCCAACTGATCAACTCTCTGACTAGATTAAATAAAAACCGCCCTGAAAAATCCTCCATCATAGACCCATTTCTAATAAATAAGCCTCACAAATTCCCTGGTACAGGTGTATTCGCTGATATTTTAAGTGATCACTGTGTGACAGCGACTCTGAGAGATATTAAACTTCCACCTTCTAAGCCCAGATTAATTCAAACAAGGGATCTGAAACATTTTTGTGAACAGTCATTCCTCTGGGATCTGTCTCACTTTGACTGGCATCGTATTCTGTTAACTGATGACGTGAACTCTGCTTGGAACTATTTTTATAATAGTTTCATTTATTTTGTGAACAAACATGCTCCTTTTCGTCAGTTCAGAATAAAGGGACGAGACAGCCCCTGGTTTACTCCAGAGCTAGCTGACCTCCTACACAGGAGAGATCATCTTTGGGCCACAGCGAGAAAATCTGACTCAGACACTGATTGGTTGAGTTTTTGACAGATGAGGAATAAATGTACAACTGCTGTCAAAGCAGAAAAACACAACTATTTCTTATCTCAGACCTCCAAAATGACCCTAACAGATTCTGGAAAACCATCAAATCTCTCTCAGGCACCACCCAATCATCTGACCTCCCATCACAACTTTTCACTAAGGTTGTTTTCACACCTGATAGTCCGGTAGACTCGGTTCGGTTGGGGACTAATATTCATGACCTTTTGTTACATTTGAGCTGGTGCATTTGCATTCACTCTGCACTGTGCAGTCGAGCCAACCTGTTGAACCAACCTGTTTCCCCGCTCGCCTGTGGAGGCGCTGCACCAAGAACTACTGAAAGAAACAACACAAAAACCTCTGAAGACATGTCTTCTTCTTCTTCTGGAA